TGATAGAATGTATGGAAGAAATCGAAGAAACATCTGGTATTAAATACTACGACAAAAAATCAGGCAGGAGCAATAAGAAGACTATTGCAAGAAAGATCGTTTGTCTTTTGGCTTACCCTATTTCACTACATTATGCCTCATGTAGATATTTTGTATAACGAACTACAAAAAAGAATTATAGACTCCGTTGAAATCAGTCGCTGCTTGAAATTATTTAAGGAAAATATAACCACAATCAAAAACCAGAAAATGCATGAAATTATGGAAAAAGCAAAATCGTTTGAAAATATCATCGATACGAAAAGATTAAAATTTAATGATGAGACTTGGAAAATATCAGCTACTGAGGTTTGTGATGTTATAATTAATGTTGCCGAAGACCGATTTCAATATACTGACCAACTAAATGCTGCAAACCTGTTGATTTGCGAAAAATTCGAATGGTATGATTTGACCTTCCCCCAAGACTATTTCACAGAAACCATGAAATCATACCCCTTTTTAGAAAAGCAGAGGCTAAAAACAGAATTAACTGTTTTATACTCCAGTGAAGAAGATAGAAACTTTTCGTCATGTGCTGTGCTACTTAACTTTCTAGTTAGTAACAATCTTCAAGAGGTATTTAAAGAAGTGATAAAATTATTAAAAATTCTTGTTACTATGCCAATGACTACCGTAGACGCCGAGAGAGACTTCTCTACATTAAATCGTATTAAAACGTTTTTAAGAAGTACGATGTGCCAAGAGAGACTAAATGCTTTAGCATGCCTTACAATCGAGCAAAGACTAATTCGGTCCATATCAGACTTTAATGAACGTGTGATTGACAAGTTTGCCAAACAAAAGGACAGACGGATCGAGTTAATTTTTAAGAAAACGAGAAATAACTAATATTTGTGCGTCTTATTATAAAACTGTTATTTTGTTAATTGTGACTTTTGTGCTAAATCTCATTCATCTATACCAAGAACATTATTTTATTCTACTAGCTAAGCCGTTTGGGAATTCATCACTCGGTAAGTCTTTAAACTTGATAAAATCTTGATATTTATTTTTTGCAATTATGCAGCACTGTCTAGTGTAAAGGTCACGAGCCGCCACTGGAAAGAGTGCATCTACCAGGTACCTTGCGAGTGCGGTGAGTCGTATATTGGAGAGACAACACTTCCTCTACATGTACGACTTGATCAACATAAAAATCATACGCAAAGAGGTGAAAAAATGAAGTCGGGCACTGCAGATCATCTGTGATCTAAGCACCACAACATAAAATGGTCGGAAGCCCGGGTAGTCTACAAAGAACCCCATTGGAAAAAGCGCAAATTTAAAGAGACCCTATTCATTTCTAAAAATAATAAAATCGTTAGCAATCCAAGTATGGAAATTTCAACAATATTGCAAAGACATATAAAACGCTCCAATGCAGCTGTTTTTAGTGGAGAACTTCATGCTTGACTGCACCCAACTAATTCACGAGTGAATGCTCGGCTCTAGTATATAAGCTCAGTAGTTTTAGGATTTAGTTTAGTTCAAACTTGATAACACAGTGATACTTCTGACCAAAACGTTGTGTAAGCAAAATAAATAAAGACAAAACAAAAATAATGGAAGACCGAAATTCTTTTAGTTTTAATACTGAATCATTATGCCTGACGGCCCAACAAAGCGGAAATACGAAATTTCCTCTCAAATCTTCCCCTCCCAAACGAAAATAGGCGAAAATTTCGACAGCTTTCGACTGGATATCCGATCTATCAAGTCGATCCGATGACGTTTTAATATTCCGAAGGCGAATCATTACAGTTATCTGTTAAAAGAGAGACGCGCTGGGAATTTTACGTCGAACTCCTTGTTTTTGGCCTCATTTCAGCTGTCTTTAGTGGTAAAATGGATCGTTAGGCTTTTTATATGTCTTCGTCGAAGATTTCAGGTAGAATAATTTACTAAATATTAAATATTTACATATGTTTTTACATACCAAGTTTATTTCAAAAGTGGCTCGCACCTATAACTTCTGTATTTTTTTATATAAAACCCGAATTTTTTTACCAGTGATTTGTTACTATACAGGGTGAGTCTTAAATAAGTGCAAATATTTTCAGGGCTGGTAGATCTCGATAAAAGAGACATATTTTCTCTTTACCATTTTTAGATAAGTCCAAAATAACGAAGTTATTTAAGTTTGAAAATTTTTAAAAAATGATTCTATTTGAAAAAAATTTGAGAGTCGCCGGATTTTTCCTGTATTTGTCCCCCTTTTAGTGCCGTAACCATGGAATAAAGCCGTAACTATGGTAATATTAGAGATTAAGAAATTAAACCGTAGGGAAATTTGCGGTGAACAGGCAGTTCTAAAAAGTTTTCGAAAAATATACAGGAAAATTAAAAAAAAATGCACGATTTTCAACATCTTTTTTGCGAAAAAAACTCACAGACGTGTTCTTGGGGTCGAAATATACCACCCCTGAAAATATTTGCACTTATTTATGACTCACCCTGTATAATTGATCAAAACCTGTGCAAATTACAGAGACTGTACACTGTGTATCTGCATCACAGGTGCTATAAGAACATGTTCAGCAGCAGCAATGTCCTAGACCTAACACCACTGCACATTGTCGTCGGTAGTTATGCCAATGCGACATTGATTAGAATGGTCATTGACGGAAACAGTACTGGGAGAATTTTCAGGTCAGGGGCTTGGAACATTCTCAACAAGAAAATTCCACTTCTCCAACTCCCAGTGGATGACATACAAAGCATTTACAACTTTGAGAAACACCGCACTGTAGTATTGAGTAATAAAAAGGATTGGGAAGAAAGAAACGTTTGCTCAGCATGTAAAAGATCATACCATGGTATATTGATGCTTCCAAAATCAAAGCAGGGATAGGAGTATTTGGGCCGAAAACTAGATACTCCGAATCAATGGGCACCTGCACCAGCATCCTTCAGGCATAAATTTACGCTATTGAAAGATGCGTACAATTTATCTTAGATAGGAACTATCGAAAACAGGAAATAGACATTTTATCTGATAGCAAAGCACCACTAAACGCGATCAACTCAGTAACCGTCAATTTGAAGTTGGTCAAAGAATGCCTAGAGAAGCAGAACAAATTAGGCAAAGGAAATAAAGTCCTCCTACTCTGGGTACCCGCTCACCAGGGCATAGAAGGCAATGAAAAAGCAAATAATCTAGCTAAAAAAGGAGCGGACACTCCACTAACTGGACCAGAACCGTTCTATTTTCCAAGCGGGAACCAACTGAAAGCGGAACTCAAGAACCGGGAAGCTTCATCTGTAACATGGAATGGGTGTCCTCCAGCGGTCTAAGACACTCGAAAAAGTTCCTCAGAACTTACAACCGAGAAAAATCAAATATTTTCCTTGATTTAAGTAAAAACAGGGTAGATAAATTTAAGTACTTGGGCATCTGGCTCTCCGAAGATTGGACATCAGACAAGGAAATTAAATGTCGCATCGAACAAGCTCGGCAGGCATTCTTGAGGTTCCGAAAAGTACTTGTCTGTTCTGATTTTGACCTTAACCTCAGATTTTAAGATTCGTAAAGTGTTATGTGTGGTCGGTGCTCCTTTATAGTATGGAAGGTTGGACATTGAAAGCAGCTGCCATTAATAAACTAGAGGCTTTCGAGATGTGGCTATATCGCAGAATTCTGAAGATACCTTGGACGGCTAAGTTAACAAATGAGGAAGTTCTGAGACGTGTCAACAAACAGCGCGAATTGTTTGAATTGATTAAGAAGAAAAAAACCGCATACCTGGGGCACATAATGCGAAACCCCAAATATCAATTCTTGCATCTGTTAATCGAAGGCCGGAGGGGTATCGGAAGGAAGAAAATGTCTTGGCTGAGGAATGTTAGCCAGTGGACAGGCCAACACGATGTACAGTCGTTAATAAACACCGCCAGGAATAGAGAAGCGATGGAAAATGTTATCGCAAACATCCATTAATGGATTCGCATTAGAAGAAGAAGAAGTAAAAACAACCTTCGGATTGTCACGTGGTTTCTAACAGGACTCTGTCTCCTCGACGAACACCTCAGTAGGCTGAAACTGTGAAACAACGCCAAATTCAGATTCTGTAGGGAAAATGGGGAAATACCAGAACACCTTATCACTGAGTGCGCCGAGACGACGACCGTTCGTGACATGAACTTTGGTACGGCTGATGTCGAGGATGGATAGCTGGCCTCTGTGAAGCCGTCTCAGATACTGGCTTTTGTTAAAGGCCTGAGATTGTATGATGAGTTATAACTTGTTATAACTCAAGAAAGGGAACACACAAAAGATCTGTAAGGTCGCAGTGATTAACTCCCTTCCTAAACATTCTACACTATACATATAATTGATATTACGAGTCAAATTATCTTTAGATTTATGGCCATGACACTCTAGATTGAAAATTAAAATGCTATTTTCATAATTAAAAATGTCAAAAAATTTTTATAAATTTTTATATGAAATATTATTTTAATTATATTCTAGTCGGATGTTGACAAGTCAAAAAGCGAACAATCGTAAATTTTATAATAATAAACTAAATTATAAAATTTAATATATCCAGTAGCACCATTAGGTACTATAAAAATAAAATAGTTGAAATATTCACCAGCTTAATATTGAGCAATTTCATTATTCGATTAAATTAAATCCATATACATCCCGCTTTATTTCTGTAATTTATTTAATTTAATATTGCATTATATAATCACACTCAAATCGAATTTCCGTATATTTATAGATGTTAAAAGGTTATGGGATAAATTCGTATATTTGATTTATAGTTTAAAGGTCATTTTATTTAATTTGATGACTTTCAATAATTGATTATATTATTATCGTTTAATTAAACCAAACAGATTAATTTAATAATCAATAACCTAAATTTTCATAACAGCTCAAACATAATATTTACTTTTTTGTTATCAGAAAGTAATAATGAAAATCAATATAATATAATTTTCGTACTTACTTGGCGTATATCCAAAGTCATCTTCTTCATCTTTATCTGCATCAATCTCTTCTTTGCTTCTCCTGACGTTAGCCGCACTAGCCCTGTCAATCTGAAAGTGAAAAGTTGTATTGGAACAGGTGTTTATCAAAAGAAACTCACCCCTATAACTTTTTTATCGGAAAAAATAAAAAAAAAGTTACTTTATGTCACATACTAACATTAGTATGATGCTGACATGATTACCGAAACGCGCGTTCAGTGTAAAAGTAAAAATGTTTTGGTGTATTGTGGTGATTTAGTGTTTTATTTTGCCTTTATTTACATATTTTTTTCTTAAATTTGCCTACCTGCTGGCCCTTGGATGACACCGTCCTCCCTTCCAGCTCGATGGTGTCAAATTCTTCATCGTCACTGGCAGATTCGTCTACGATAACTGGACTTTTCGAGGGCTCATTTGTAATTTCTATCAAAATTACATCTTTATTTGCACTGCTAATATGTTCTGTAAATAATAAAACATCATTAATATTCATATAACATCTAAATGAAGTCATGAATGCCAAGAATTGAGTATGGCATTGTTAGATCAATAGTAAAGCTTTATTCAGAACCTCGCAATTCGTGGATTAAATTAGTGGTTTTAATTAGCGTAGAAGTTTGTTCCTTTAATTTCAATGTAAGCATTCAGAACGTCAAAATTAGTGGTAGCCATTTACAATTAGTAGAAAAACTTATATATACAGGGTTGTTCACCACATACGACACGGAGTATTGTAGCTAAACGATTAGATTTTTACAAATTGTAAGTTCTGGGTTCGTTGAAGGTCAATTAGAGCTACAATTTAAAAATATTTTTACAAGATACAGAGTGTCCCAAATAAGTAAAGAATATTATAGTTATATTTTTTTAAATGGAACACCCTGTATATTATTCTATTTTTGGTTTTTTCGATTGAAATAAAGGTAAATTTGATTAAGGTTTATCACACTTAAACCTTACCGTTTTTGAAATATTTTCAATTTTATGAAATTGCAGTAAAAATTTTAAGGTTTTATTTCTCCCAGGGTATCAAAGTTTTTAATACCAAATATTTACTGAAGATTATTTATTGATCAGATATTGTGTTGCAATAATAAAAATTTTACTACCTTATACAGAGTGTCCAAAAATTTATATTAAATAATTGCTAGCTTTAAACGGCAATAACTTGTTTAATTTAAATGGAACACCCTATATATTTTACGTAAATCAGATGCACAATGTAATTGTCTATCAAATTTTATTATACCATTTTTTACCCATCTCTTCAAGTTTTCGTAGAAAATTGATTTTTTTATAATTTAGGCCTCATTTATCACTATACCCATGGAATATTGACATTTCAGATTTTTTTATAGCACCATAATATGTACAAAATGTACAGGTGGTAAATATTGCAAGCCCATTGGCATACAAAATAAACTATTTAAATATTTATAAAAGAGTATACCAATTAAATATACCATCATTATTTCCTACCAAAAACACCAAAAATTAGTTAATTACATACTTATAAATTGTTTTAATTAAAACATTATTCTAAATGAATGTGGATTTGGCTCAGAAATCAATATAATAATAAGTCATAAAAATGAACGTGTGTTTTTATAAATAAACATTCGTTAATAAATGAAGTAAAATCTATAAGGTGTTGCTTTTTACCACACTGTCTAATACACACACAAAATTCAATTTTTTAGTATTTGGAGCAATTATTACTACAACGTAAACAGTCAAATAATGTAGTTTGAATACTGGGATCATATTAATCGGTCCTCTTTAACAAAAAATATTTAAACAGTTTTTTTATTTTTTAATTAAATAAGCGAACTAGATATATCGACAATATTAGTATCTGTACCCTTTGAAAATTTGTTATATCTTTAAAAATAAGCTAAAATGTCAATATTCCATGGGTATAGCGATAAATGAGGTCTAAATTATAAGAAAATGCATTTTCTATGAAAACTTGAAGAGGTGGGTAAAAAATGGAACAATACAATTTGATAGACAATTACATTGTGCATCTGATTCACGTAAAATATATAGGGTGTTCTATTTAAATTAAACAAGTTATTGCCGTTTAAAGCTAGTAATTATTTAATATAAATTTTTGGACACTCTGTATAAGGTAGTAAAATTTTTATTATTGCAACACAATATCTGATCAATAAATAATCTTCAGTAAATATGTAGTATCAAAAACTTTGATACCCTTGGAGAAATAAAGCCTTAAATTTTTTACTGCAATTTCATAAAATTGAAAATATTTCAAAAACGGTAAGGTTTAGGTGTGATAAACCTTAATCAAATTTATCTCTATTTCAATCGTAGAATCTAAAAATAGAATAATATACAGGGTGTTCTATTTAAAAAAATACAACTATAATATTTTTTACCTATTTGGGACACTCTGTATCTTGTAAAAATATTTTTAAATTGTAGCTCTAATAGTCCTTCAACGAACCCAAAACGTACAATTTGTAATAATCTAATCGTTTAGTTACAATACTCCGTGTCGTATGTGGTGAACAACCCTGTATATAAACATTTAACTTTTCCACTAATTATACTTCAAAATTTGCGAAAATTGTCATTTTCGCTCTTGATTATCTTCCGTCAAGGGAAATTGGGGTTAGAAATCAAAATTTGATTGTTTTATAAGCTAAATATTAGGCTTTCTCTATGGATCCAATTGACCAACACATGCTGTTGCTAAGATATTCTATTAATTTTAATTGTGTTTTCTAAACATTGGGAATGATCGTATACTAAAAAGTATAAGCTTAAAAAGTTAAAATTAAATCTACACATTAATATGTAGTGAGTGTAAGTCTGAGTTCTGTGAATCAAAGTGTTTAGTATTTAAAACTAACCTGTTTCCTTTGTTTCACTAACTCTCACATTTTCGTTGTCATCGTGATTTTCCAAATAGTTCTTGTTTGATGCGATTTTTTCCTTGTTGGATACCGGAGATGGCGATTGACAATCGTTTTCGTTGTTTGGTAAATTGTTTTCGTTTTCAGTGCTTACCTGTAACGAGAAAATATTTTTCAAAAAAAATCATACCTAAGTAGAATAAATTATATGTTGTCTTTTTTCTTAACTAATGCTAGCTATGCTATACAATTAACGAGTTGCAATGGGAATTAGATAAAGAGAATGCATAACATGTTGGTATCTGATTAGCATTTCTTTGTAAAAACTTTTTAGTAAAAATAATGACTTCAGATTATACAAAGATGCAAGTTATATAGGTACAAACACTGTAAGAGATATAGAAAAACATATCATTGGAATGTGTGAAATATGTAATCGCAAAACAATTTCCGATGCACGTCATCAACTTTAAGTGACAAGCGATGGCGACAGCGCTGCCAGATTGTGATGGATTTTATGAGATGGAACTTAATATAAAATTGAAAAACAACATATTTATTATATCATTTTTTAAAGAGTTTTATGTTTTATTTTTAATTTAATAACTAATATTTTAGTGATTATTTGATTTATATGTTTTATAGCTTATTTTACTTATTACATATTGGCAAAAACTAGTCCATTATGAAGATTATTATAAGCGTTATTATGGGTTATTTATTTATTACTGTACATCTTACAAGGCCATAAGTGGTAATAACAAATAAGAGGGTGCTATTAATGCACAAACTAATAATCATAGAATTTAACATAAACTAACTTTGAAAGTGGTATAATGTGCTTATCAATCAAACTTACTTTTTTGGCTGCGGTCAAGGCTAATAAAGGACCTTTATTGTCACATTCTCGTTCAAAATAGTTTTAAAAAACCAGGGAAGCTACAAGCTCTTTGCTTCGACTGTTTAAATGCTTCGTCATATTTTCAACACAAAATTTCAAGAAATGCAATACAAAAACACGAAAATATAGTTCCTAAAAGAACTGTTTGTGCTTAAAAGTGCAATTTAAAAAAAAGAATAAGAAAATAGACAAAACATAAGAATTACTCACAAGATTCAACAACAACACGATATTATACAAAATAATGACTCACACTAGGATAATTGTGAAATAAAAAAGGACAACATTGCTGAACAAGGCGCAATATGACCAACATAGCGATAATAAAATTCGGTTTAAACTAATTTTTGAAGCTTTAATCTAAATAAAATATCTGTTAAAATCATTTGCTCTATAAAGTAAAATGAAGAGCTGCTCGGTATCTTAAAGTATACAACAAATTTAAAAACTTTTGCCAAAATATCATTTAGTCAGGTTTATAAACTTAGTGTCAATGTCGATAACATGGAGATACCATGCGATTACCATGAATGGAGAAGGGATAAAGTATTAGCTCATATGTTAAAATAAACTTTTTTTACAAATTATGTAACAATTTGTAAATTACTAAACGCTCTTTTTCATTTATACATAATTTTTAGTAATAATTTTCAAAAGTTGTGATTTAACTTTCTCTCCATAATTAACTACCAGAATAAAATTGAATTCACGTATAAATCACGCGTCGGGGTTTAATTTCCACTAAAGAAACTTTAAATTGCTACTTCACGCGCTTTTACAAGTTATTATCCCTTGTTGGCTTTACTCTAATAACGAAACAGAATATGTATTCAAAAGCGTGGGATGTTCCGGGCGTATGTTCCGCTAGATTATTGTATAATCAAATTAGTTGAATTTATACTCGTATAAACACACGATGTTACTAGATTAAATCAAAGCGAAAATGTATGTATATACATGCACAACGTAAGTAAATATACTCAAGTACAAATTTAAACATATTTGTTTTACTTTATAATTTAAAAATATTGTAGTAAATTTGCGTCTTTATTGTTAGATATGATAAAAGTTTGCGAGTTTAGGACCAAGAAATGAAAAAGCCTTTGCTTTAAAAAGTTGCCGACGTATCGACGTATATTCTCGTCTCCTTTTTTTTAGCTAAAAGGTTTTCTGCCAAACGTAAGTAACTAAGTAATTATAGTTAGCCCAGTCAAATTAGAGAAATCTGTGGAAAAAATTCCCACAGTTTTGAAAATGGTTTTAATTAAGTAGGTCTTTCAAATTATTTTTTAATTTTGTACAATATCGTATATTATGAAGTTTAAATTACAAAATATTTATGTTATTAAAGATAAGGTGCTTTAATTTTCATTATAAGACTTTTGAATTAGAGAATTTTATGAAGGTATTTCTTATTTCCGACACAAAAATTAATTCAGAAACTTAATAATTCACTATAATTTTATAAATATATTATTATTTATTTTGTTTCTTTAATATACTATGTACATAATGTCGGTCTTGATTTTTTTGATTACACAAAAATATAAAACAAAATAAATTAACAGAAAACATTATCTATGTTAACAAATAACTTGTGCAGTTAGGGAGTGATTTATGTGAACGCATCACCTTTTTTACAACTTTTAATCGGCAATAAATTCCCTCCACAAATTTGCTACTAAGAGGAAAATAAGTCAGTGGCGCACATGTTTTATTAAAAAATATTCTAGTAACAACCCAAATTCACGTCCCTGGTGAATCGGTCGACACTATTTTGGCATTAAAATATGTAGCACTAATAGCAACTTTTACCCTCCAAATTTCATTCGAATCGCTAAAAGCATTTCGAATAAAATTATAATAAATGGAAAAAAATAAGACTTTAACGCCCTGTAGCTACGAAACAAAGCAGAATCGGACGCATGTTAATATGAAAAACAAATCTTATTTTTACAACTGAAAACACCCTGTATGTAGAAGCGTCAGTAACTTTTCAAAACAAAGAGTCTTTCACTTCTTGGTCCTAAACATGTAAACTTTATTTCATATTTAAAAAGTAGGGTACTAGTAATCTACTAGTCTCTAGTATGTCCCCTGATTGTTTTTACAAGAGGAAAAACTTTTTTTTATTACAAACATTTTGAGAAAAATGCATTCTTTATAAAAATTTGGCTGGTTCTAAAACCCGTTTGATCTGATTCCGTTTATAATTTTCAAAATGTCCATACCGTTTGCGAGAAGATTAAAAAAAACATGAAAATACAGTTGTTAAAAATAAGTTTTTAAAATCAAAATTCGTTTCTATGGTAATATAGTTTCGATTTCATTTTTTGATAGCTTGTTATTGATAAAATTTTCAATAATGTCTATAAAACGCAGACAAAACATCGATACCTCGATTTTTATCAGCGTCGTCAAAATAATAAGAAAAAATAAATAAAATAGTTGCTTAAATGTTTCCTTTTTGTTGCACAAATATTGTAAACATTGGGTTGCTGTTTTGATGGTTTAGTGTGGATCTGGCATTAGGGAAACAGAATGGGAAGACGCTAAAAAAACGGGGTGGATAAAAAAGGACAAGGACGCGTGCCATGAATCGAACGTACTTACCCAGGGAATTAGAGACTGAACGAGGAACACGACCGGATTGGGAGCGCTCCTTATGGCTTCGACGGCCTTGTCGTGGGCCGCTTCTCTCAAATCGATACCACTCACTTCCAATATCCTATCGCCAGTCTATTAAACAATAAAAGACATGAATTAGAGATATATTTTAACATGATAGTGTTAACTAAATTGCAAATGCATCTCAAACAATAGATATTAACGTTATAAACCCGTATAAATCAATTTTTACAGTATGAGTGAGATTATTTTTATTTATACGGATTTTCGAAACGAATACTGTAAAAGTCAATTGCGGACAATGACATACAATGTTTTATTTCATAGTGCTTGGATAAAACCTATGTTTCTAAATAATTGTGTTTTTTTTAATCCGCTTATGTATGGTTTTGGAAACTATTATATTTACTGGTGAAACATTCCACTACTGACATAAAATTTGGGGCAGAATTCTGTAGGATATCTACGCAGCGCAACGTAACTGTTCCAATTTTATTTATTTATATAAAAAGGGCTCCTAAATATATGCAAATATTTCTGGGGTAGTATATATCGACCCCAGAAACACTGAAACATTGAAAATCTAAAACATTTTTAAAAAAAATTTGGATTTTTTTTAGCTTTTATTTAAAAAATATAAATTCTTCATAATATGGCAACATAGGTAGTAAGAGAAAATATTATGTTTCTTTTATCGAGATCTAACCGCCCAGAAAATATTTGCAACTTATTTAAAACTTACCCTGTATAATTTACGTAGTTTAAAAGTGCGAAGTGTGAAAACGAATTTTCTTTATCAAACCTAGTCCGGTAAATAGGTACTTTTACCAGCTTTATTACTGTAACATTTTATGTTCCGTACTGTGTATGTACGATACAGTATAAAATAAAGATATACTAAGGGCTGGCAAAGGTTAGTCTTGGGTCGAGATTTCCGTATGTAAGAGTACAATGCGTTTATAATGTACTGAACAAAGAGAGGACAGTAAACATGTTGCCAAACGTATGAAATAAACCGAGAAAGTGTGGACATCGCTAAGAGACGTGGAAGGTGATATAGCAGATTTGTCGCAGTTGACCGGTCAACCCAATCAATACCTCTGTCAGTACTTAAAGTTCTAGGGAAAGGTGTACGTCATGCGTTCAATTTCACGATTTAATTACGTCTCGTGATACTTAATTTGTTTATTTATTAACGCGTCGTTGTAATTTTCCCTATAGCTTGAATTTTTTTAAGTGCAAGCTAGAAACACTTGCATTTTTGGTAAAAATAAGTGGAATTGAGTGGGTGTTTGATAGTGGTCGCGCTATTAGAACTATGAATTCAAAAATCGATATCTCGAAATCTATTAGAAATAATAGATTGTTTCAAGAACTTTGTTAATATTTCTACTTTATATTTTCTTTGTAGACAGTATGTGAAAATCTTTATCAATAAAAAAATTACACGATTACTGAAAATTGCTATGCTCTAAAAGTAAATGGATGGAATGTTTACAATTTTTAAATGGAAAAAACAACCTTATCGAATTTTTCTTATGTAAACATATTGTGAAATATCCGATCTTAAAAATAAAAAAAGTTTCAATATCTAAAGTGATCCTTGAGTTATGGCCTGTTATGTGTTAAGAAGTTGAGTTTTTAAATTATCGCGATTACTGACGTTTTCTCGTTATAAAAAAATGACACCCTAACGATATCCTTATAATTCCATTTCAGATGCTCAGAAACATGTCTAATGACTTTATCTAGTTATCTCTTAAAAAAAAGTCTTTTAAAAATAAGCGGTTTGCGATCGTGATTTTACTTTACTTGATAGGGAAAGGCGTATCGGCAACGCACAGTGCTTCGAACATATGGCTCTAGAGGACAAAAATGCAAAACTTCTCTTTTATTGTAGGCAATTTATTCAAACTAGGTTTATTTGACACAAATGATGAGTACTCTCATTGTACTAAATGATGATGTTCTTAGTCCCACGTTTATGAAAAAAAATCTTATAAATAATAAAAATGTTGGAGCTCTGTTCCATCTAAGGAAATAATAATTTATAGTGTGAAAACGGTGTAAGTATTAAACAAATTCCTGTGATAAAAAAGAATTGGAATAACATTAGAACATGATTCCTACAATATAAATCTAATATAAGATAAAAATGTTTTTCTTTAATGAAAAAGAAACATTAATGCTATATTTAATTTAAAAAAAAACTTAAGATACTATAAATTGACTTTAGGACAACAAAATGCATAGACCGTAATTACTCTGATTCAGAAGAATCATTGCTGACAGAATCTTCCAAATTTATACTATCCAAATCACACGTAGATGAAATATCCTCACATACTATTCCATACATACTATTTCTGTACATCATTTTCCAATATGTTACTTTTTCGCGTTGTTACTGTTCTTTTTGTTGGTATGAGGGGTTCGGATGTTAATAGTTACCTCTTTAATAGACCATATCCATATATTATTTTTTCGTTTTCTTGGGTATGAGGTTTTATAATAAATTGAAAGATGGGAACATTTTTTATGCCACGTTTCGCTCCAACATAGTGGGCTCAGGCACAAGTGGTTATCTCATTATTACTTACTCGTTATCTCAATTTTACTCCATCTGAAAAGTATTATAAAATAAAGTTCGTCGCAAGCAGACGCAGGTGAACTATGCAAAAATTAAAAGTGTATGAATATGGCAACAAAAATATTCAATAAATACGATATGTTTTGATATGTTTTTTTTAATGCCTTTTTGAAGTTTGAAAACGTAAAATTTTTATACCCATTTAAGAATCATCTTAAAAAATAAATAAAAACTAAACAATAACGAACTTGTTTAGAAATAAATTTAAAGTACATACCTTGTTTAACAATATCCATAGTGACTTTCAATTAAGTACGTAACGTTTAACTCCATATACAGAACTACTATGAATGTTATTCTTTTCACTGATATAAGATAATGATCGCAAAATTTATTTTTAGTGAAAATATTTGCTAACAAAAAAACGCTGTCTATGAAAAATAATATACAGGATGGTTGAACATTGCTATAAGTATAAAATTACATATTCAGATATTAGTAAATTTTAACTTTTTTTTCGATTTTTGTCCATGGGACGAAGCACTGTGCAACGCCGCAACAGCACACCATCGCATTTCTCTCACTCCGACTTAATAAGATCCCTATGCGATTTACTTCCACACGTGTAAATGCCGACCCAAAAGTAACAGTTGCCAGCACGGTATTTTAACATGATAGTGTTAATTAAATCGTAACTGTATTGGTTAAATATGGTAATCATCTCAGAAAATTATACAGGACAGGGTTATTCACCACATACGACACGGAGTATTGTAACTAAACGGTCACTTTCGCCGTCGGACTTCGCCTTTCCATCCACACATGCGGGCTCTGATAGCAACAACATAGAGACTATACTCTGTTTTTTTTCTCAGGTGAGATTTCGACAGACGATGACAGAAGAAAAGCAGATGACGTCCCATACCAATCTATTTATTTTACTAAAAAAAGTTTCTAATTATTTTTAAGTTATCTATGGATGGGTATAAATATAAATCCGTCATGCGTCGTGTCTTGTTGTTTTTAACCAGTTTTATTGGTTTATTTAAAAAATGACAGATCGTATTTCAATTTTATTGGTTTGATGGAACGATGCACGACAAACGGACGCCGAAGCGTATGAACCCGCCTTTAGATTTTTGTCATTTTTGACGCTTGTCAAAGTCTTGCCAAATTATAGGTTATAATTTTGTGTCAACTTTTGTTGAATACCCTGCGTTTTGGAAGATGATGCATTTTGATTCGTATTATTACGTGTGTTTTGTGTCTTTTTGAAGTCAAGTGGAGGAAAATCGAGTGAAAATTAACTGTAGACCCAGAGCACAGTTTATGGTTAATACTCGCTGCCCAGGCAGGAAGTCTTAAACCAATGAAGTTGCCATCGATAAAGTTTGTATACCATTTCGTCGTAGATAAGTGCATCTCGTATAAGGTAGAAGGATCAAACTAAACACATACTAAAAACTGGAGTAGCTGTAAAATATCGACATCACACGATAGGCAAATAATGGATTTTAGTACTGCAGAAAAATAATGTCAAAAGGTACTGGTTTAAAAAAATTAAGATTAAAGTTAATTAATCAACCTTTAAGGTATAAAATTTGGTAGGAGTTATTATTAATAAAATAGTTTGTTTTATTTACCTATGTTGTTTTATTTATTTATGTGGAATATTACAAATTTGTATTTGTACATAAGTTATATTGATAAATATAATCATAAATGCGGGTAGTTTCATAAAGCTTGAAAGTAAATAATAGTTCTTTTTTTATATTTTTTTGGTATGTAGTGTCTTGTTCTTGTTTGTTTTGTATTAACACATACCGTTTTTTATTAAATAAAATAACTCGATTACATTTTTTCAGTTTTATACAGTTTTTTCACAATATTTTGAAGTAATCACTTGTCATCTTGTCAATCAAATTTTAAATATTTCCTGCTATGCGTTCCAGTTGTACCAACTTATTTCTTTGTAAAATAAAATAAACTACTTTGAAATTAAAATGACAGACACATCTATCACTGTCAAGGATCTTCTCGTTGGACAGACTATAGCGCTCGTTCTCGTCGCCGATCGAGTCGCCGAACTCCGACTTCCCCATCCACACACATAGGAAATCGGCGAAGCCTCGATCGGAGATCGCCAATTGTCAGCATTCATGGAACACAGGGCACAGAATAAATTTTAATAAAGCCAAAATTATAATGAAAGAAGCGATAGCCTCTAAAAGAAAAATAAAAGAGGCTTTTTTAATACAATGTAATAAAAATAAATGTATTGCTCATGCATCTGTAGATGTTAGTAATGTATGGCAATCGCTTTTTTGATTTTAAAGAACATAACATACGTAAAATTAAAAATAAAATCATACAAAAAGTTTGGGCCTTTTTGGTTTTACCTTATTAGGTAATTGTTAATTTTGAAGGTTAACTTGATATAATGTCATTTTAACAGAACGTCAACGGTTTTTGTAGACGTATCTGTTTAAAAAAAAAACTAAAGTGTCCTCGAATAGTTGAA